CATTAACAGATTCCTAAGATTTTTATTGAATTTTTATGGTAAGAAACGAACTGGTAATGAAAGTCACTGTAAAGCATGACCATCAACAATAAGATAGGAACTGAGATGTAGCGCAGAGAACTGTCTACTATTAACGGTATAATAGGATAAGTATAATAAGTATCCTTTGTAAACAATATTGTAGAAAATGTACAAATTACTTGCACGTAATAGACTGCAAATCACACTATTTATTTTTACGTTCATGCGATGCTTTATATCAAAATATTTTATATCGAGATTGTTTTACAGTTCTTTTAATAAATCTTTAAAGTTCTCGTGGAAGAAAATGTAAGAGACGAGGCTTAGGTATGCAATTCAAGATACTAGGAGGAAGAGGCCGAAGAAATCGAAGAAGAAATGACTGAAGGATGAGGAGAGAGAGAGAGAGAGAGGGAGAGAAAGATAGAAAGCCTATGAAGGTGAATTAATTTAATCAATTATTCTTCGTATCTTGATTGCATGTTCATCTATAATACATTATTCTGATTTTAAAAAATGTATAAATTTAACTTCGTGGAATTGTATTGAAGAAGTTCGTAATGCTTTTAAAAAACAATGTGCATGTGCTTTGAGAAGTGGCCTAGCAAAATATGAACAATGATCCTAATCACCAGATAGCAATCCGACAATCAGATAGTCACAGAAGAAAAAAAAATTTCCCTTCTTTGTCGAAGCATCTACTCTTATCTGTCGTTGAAAAACAAAATTTCTCGGGTGCGTTTATATGGGAAGAAACGAGTTTCGGATACGTGCATACGCACAGATTTAAAAATGCGCGATCCAACGGCTCATTATATCATCTCTCTCACAAAAATGAAACAAAACCCATACGTTAGCCGTGTGTACGTGCCATGGAACACAATGTCCTATTGAACGAACTCGATGGAATTTTATTCTCACCAACAAGTGAATCATTAGTATATCGACTCTCACTCTAGTCATTACCTGCGCACATTAGTGTGTGTAAGTGTACGTATGTTATTCGAATTTTCTATCTACAGGATTGTCTATTTTTACGAACATTCGACGTCAACAAAGCTTCTTTTAAGTTATCTAGTTTTTGGCATCTTTTTACGTGAATTTATACCATTGAAGTTGTATACGTAAAAAACCAGTAAACGTAAACAAAGTCCTGGAATAAATACTTTCTCATGAAAAATATGATAAGGTAAATTGCAAGTCTCTTTTGCTTATAAATTGCAGCTGACTAAACAGGGTGCAACTTTGAAAAACAGCCTTTCTGAGAAATTCAAATTTTCCCTTTTGCATAAACGTGTATAGCCGTATCGGTTAACTCAACGGCAAGCTTCTCTATCGCTCCCGCCGAAGTACAAAGGCTTTTGCAAGGCTGCCGCGGCTGAAAAAACGACATGGTTTGGGTGTATTTCCCATAACTCCAAATAAAGGAATTCTCCGAAAATCATGCGTAAAATTGTCAATTGTTTATTTTACCAAACAGACGTGTGTCTAAACGATAAATTATATATGCGTCAGCTTGTCAGGGACTGCATTACATGTAGTTTAAGTATGCATTATTCTTTTTACTGCACATGCCCGCTTCGTTTCTCAAAGAAGCAGTTTGCACAGACACGTTTCGTTAATGCGTTCTTAATTTTTCACATTAAAATATTTTTCGCAAAGCGATAAACGATACAAAATTTTTTGATAATTATATTTTACAAATAAAAATAGTTTTTTTTATATTCGATATGAAAATCTATGGAAGATTTCTGGATATATCTAGATTTCTGCATATATGCAATGTTTAACTGAATTAGAATATATCTTGTAAAAATCAATGCTGGACAGCAACATTTTTGCAATTTTTCTAGAACGCATTATCGATTTGAACATTCTTATAAAGAGGACACAGGAAAAATTGCTATGAGTTAGGTCATTATCCGAGCAGCACTTATTTCTCTGTCTTTTTTTAATTAAAAAATTGAAGAAAAGCTCCATATCGATAAAAAATAATTTAGAAAATGTATTTGTCATTATATTTGTCAGCAACTGACTAAACAGAACAAGTAATTGACATATATGTTACATGCTGAATAATAATTAAGACACGTTAACGAAGAATATGCGAAAAATTTCAAAAGCCTAAGAAAATCCAGAATACAGATAATGGCCGTATGGAATATGGTGTGAAGTAATAATAATCTAATAAACATGTTAAAAAAACTCTGAAATCTAAGGTATTCAACTTCATAGAAAAAAAGACAAGGTCGTCCATATAACTCGTAGGGTCCATATTCCTCTACTCCTCCTACTAAGTGAATCTCCTTCCTCCTACCTTCCTATAAAAAGGTAAAATTATCATACAAATGGGCTGTAGCAACTATAGATTATTTTGAAATCGACTATTTTGCTGCAATTTTCGATTGTAGCTGCAAATTAGCGCCAATTTTAAACAAATAGTAAAATAGACGACCGTAAATGTTTAAAATTGACGCTTCGGAGCCTCAACCAAAATTACAATTTCCATGTAATGTCCATCCAATTTCAATTAAAATTGATTAATTAATTTAGTAAACCAATGTGCGATATCAATGTTTTTTTTATTACGTGAGAAATAAGGCGATCCAAATGAGTATGCGCTTAAAAATTTTTTCTTGAACCCTGAAAAATTCTATTTGTATTAGAAAATCTAACCTGTCCTTTCTGTACAATTCAAGATTTTTAATGAAAATAGACAATAATTCTTCATAGTTAGGTGAAATAACAATTTTTATTCCGAGGATACACTGTTTTATCAATAAATAGAATAAATTAATCAACTTAAATATCTTGAGTAATAAAAATAGTCATTCATATCGTAACTACAGCTAATATACTTTTGGAAAATCATTCTTAAATATAGTTTTCGTAACTATCTTGCGGGTTCTATAATAACGATGTCCGAATATTAGGAAAAGGAGTAAATAAGTAAGAGTTATCTGATTAGCTAGCTGTAGTCGGATATGTGTGTGTGTGTGTCACTTCTACAATTACGTGTTTACTAATTGTACAGCACATACCAACATGCTGTAAGTGTTTGCTTTGTAATTTCCCCCGGCCGTTTCATATCTTTTAAGGGTACTTATTTTAATGTCTTTCAGTTGTTTTATTTTACTCATCAACCAAGACGATACCTTCGCAATCGATACGTGTAAGGCCAGACAATTGCGTTTATCATAACTGCAATCGAATGACCACGCATAAATTTTCCTGGCAAATGCTTTGCTAAGCAATTCGTTGCTAGCCTTAGTGTATCCTTGAAACTACTTTTCAAATTATTAAAAACTACTTTCTCATACTTATCATAATCCCAACTTTAGTCAAAACTTCGGTCATAATTCATAGTAAAGATCCATATCAGAAAATTAAAATAAACTGACATTTCCCGTGTCAAACAAATAACACATACCCAATTAAGATCTACGTAGTTTTTTCAATTTTAAACATTTTTATTCTACATTTAAATTACACTTGATTTGTCATTGTTACTTTTATACAATTTATAAATGGCTAAAATATTTCTATTTACTATGCATTTGAATAAAGTTTGTAAATTATATATGTTCATATCTTTTGTTTATCAATTTCATAATCGATCGTTTATTATCAAACACATATGAGTTTTCAGGAAATTGTCTTTTACCGAAGGCACAATATTTCAAAAAATATCAATCGAGAATATAATTTATTGAAATTCAACAACAGGAAAAGCTACAAATATTTATATGAGATTCCAATAGTACATCTACTTGATTAGTGCAAGAAATTATCATTGAAAGTTCATTATCTAATTAGTACGAGAAATTAGATTTTTGTTTCGTGTGAGTTTTAAGTCCGTGCAAAGCGAAGTTGGAAAAGCACAGAAGATGAGAATTTCTTTCCCCGTATATATGTATATATGTTATATGTATATATGTATATATAGCTAAAGTATTTTTCGAAACAAAGTGGAAAGTGCCAATTTGAGCGCACGTTTTTCACCAAGCTTGAGGCAAAATCGTACTTTACGTACAGTGTATTGAAAAAATACTAAACTAAAAATACGTTATCGGAATTTTGATCCGATCGAGGATAATTTAATTATTGTTATCGATCAGATCATCGGAATATGAAAATGTACGACTCTTAAACGACATGCAATATTTTGAATAATAAATCTGAAATTTGTCAGTTAATTATCTGGTATAAGATTTCAATCTGAGTTGAATCATTGAAACTTTCCTCTGCCCATCGGATTCTCATCACTGTCATAGTAAAAAACTCACTTTAAAACAAATGGAAAATAGTGCCATCTACTGATGGCACTGCGTACCAGTTGTATTTTTGCTATTTTTAGATTATTCACGTAAACGGACAATGAATGGGTGAATGAGGAGTACAGTTGAGTATACAGTATAAGGCCCCGGTCCCATAGGTACGTATGGATGCGGACGGATACGGACGCGAATCGCAACTGCAGTAACATCGCTAAAAATATCTAGTTCGATTATTTAGTACCAACACTACCGGTAGTGAGTAAAAGTGACTGTTGTTTAAAACTGTAGCGCCGAACGTACCACATTTAATGTTCAAATGTCAGGTCTACAATTTACTTTTCAAATTCTTATGAATATTGCTTATTGATGAGTATGCTAATGTAAAAAAAGTTTTTGGGATGATTAATACATATCATTTTTATATATTTTCTTCTTCTTCTCATATATTCAAGTACTTCCATAAAATTAAGGCCTAATTCCACTAATTGTAGTTGAAAGTCTATCAATTCTCTATCGTTTGCCATCTTATAGACTGCAATAATGTAAAGGTTAGATAGGCGTTCATTAAATGTGGTATGTTCGGCGCTACAGTTTTAAACAACAGTCACTTTTGCTCACTACCAGTAGTGTTGGTACTAAATAATCGAACTAGATATTTTTAGTGATGTTACTACAGTTGCGATTCGCGTCCGTATCCGTCCGCATCCGTATGTACCTATGGGACCGGGGCCTAATAATCAACGAAAGTAGACTCAACAGACACGTTTTTCTCTTCTATCACCATCCGGATATATTGTATACACACACACATCGCTCGCGCGCGCATACACACACACACACAGACATACTTCGTAACCATACAGTTTTATACATCTATGTATGTAGATAGGTACGTACCGCGTTTAACTTCAGTGTGTTACTGCTGATCTGACAATCCTGACAGTTCACAGTCGAGTAGTCAACGGGACGCAGGCAGACTCATTAAAGATGGCGGCTGTAGACGTTGAACGAGCGAAGGTAAGTATTTTTTTATGTTGTTTTCCTTAGTACTATTTATTATTATTATATTCGTATCATTAGTTCAATTCATGATTGATTATATAATCTATTTTTATTAAAGTAATTATTTTATGAACTATTAATATGGATTTAAAACCAAAAAATGTAGAGACTAGGGCGTTGGTTATATACTCATTGCTTTTAATCTTTAATCATCGATGCATTCAATCACGTCCGGAACCTTATTTGGATTATAACTGTTTGGTTCCTGACCTTATTTTTACATAACTGTCTTAAGATGTACATTATAATTATGTTTCAGCAGCTTGAAAATTGTATTCGTAATTTGAAGTTATCTGGACATGTTGGTTTTGATAGTTTGCCTGATCAATTAGTTAATAAATCAGTGCAAAATGGATTTGTCTTCAACATCTTATGCATTGGTAAGATAATCTAAATTGTTTCACTACTTAATCTTGCAGTGCTTATTTCAATAAAAATCTAACTTTCAGACCTTATATATGTTTAAATAGTGTAAGATAATTTTCATTAAAAATAAGAGCAAACTAAACATGCATTGTTTAAAACAGGTGAAACAGGACTTGGTAAATCAACTCTTATGGACTCTTTGTTCAACACCAGTTTTGAGTCTACTCCAAGTCCTCATAATTTACCTGCTGTTAAGCTGAAAGCACATACTTATGAGCTTCAAGAAAGTAATGTTAGATTAAAACTGACTATTGTTGATACGGTTGGCTATGGAGATCAAGTTAATAAGGAAGACAGTTTCAAAGCTGTAGTGGATTATATTGATGCTCAATTTGAGGCTTATCTACAAGAAGAATTGAAAATCAAACGCTCACTTTCTGCCTATCATGATAGTCGTATTCATGTGTGTCTTTATTTCATTTGTCCTACAGGACATGGGTGAGAATTTATTTTTACAAATAACTTTTTTTACAATTTTTTAGTAATATCTGTAAAATCTATTGAAACATTTATAGATTGAAGTCAATCGACTTAGTTTGTATGAAAAAACTTGATACAAAAGTGAATATCATTCCAATCATTGCCAAAGCTGATACTATATCAAAGACTGAGTTACAAAAGTTTAAGGTAAATATAATCCAAAATTTTTTCCAAAAATAAAAATTTGCAAAATGTAAAAAGCAATTGATCTAATCTTTGCAGAGTAAAATTATAAGTGAACTTCAAAGTAATGGTGTTAATATATACCAATTTCCAACTGACGATGAGAGTGTTACTGAAGTGAATACTCAGATGAATGCTCATGTACCTTTTGCTGTAGTAGGAAGTACAGATTTTGTTCGTGTTGGCAATAAAATGATGAGATCTCGACAGTACCCATGGGGAACAGTACAAGGTGTGTAGACTTTTAAAATAAAGATTTTTTATACTTTATAAAAGTAATATATAATACTATTTTTTTAGTTGAAAATGAATCCCATTGCGATTTTGTAAAATTAAGAGAAATGTTGATTCGCACAAATATGGAAGATATGAGAGAGAAAACTCATAATCGGCATTACGAATTGTATCGAAAGAAAAGACTAGAACAGGTATATATTGATTGTACACTACTATTAAAATTGCAATTGGTACAAATATGTTAAATAATTATACCATTGTATTTAGATGGGATTCAGCGACGTTGATAGCGAGAATAAACCTGTAAGTTTTCAACAAACGTGTGAAGCAAAACGATCGACTCATTTACAAGAATTGCAGCAGAAAGAAGATGAAATGAGACAAATGTTTGTAGTGAGAGTAAAAGATGCTGAAGCTGAATTAAAAGAAGCAGAAAAAGAAGTAGGTCATTCCAGAATCAAAACATAATATTAGTATGATAACGCGTATTAATAGTAAAAAACAATTTTTTGAAAGCCTTTAGTGCAGTAATTATGCTTCCATGAAGTGAAAGAATGAGCGGTTCCCATGTATGATATATTTGTAATTTCAGTTTTCTGTGTAATGTAGATGCATTTATTGCTCAAAGGTTATTTAGGTTGAGTTGTGAACAAAAGACTATTTATAATAACTTTTCAAACGGCTTACTTTACTGTGCCAAATAATGATGACTGTATAAAGTTTATCTAATAGAATGATTGCAATATTTATACGAGTCTGAGAGCTGTATAACAAATTTGATCTAACACATATATCCAAATCAAACAAATCATATTATAAGTTGACTTTAAAAAATTTTTTTATTTCCAGCTTCATAACAAATTTGATAAACTAAAAAGAGATCATACCGATGAAAAGAAGAAACTAGAGGAAAGCCGAAAAAAATTGGAAGATGATATTCAAGAATTTAATAGACGAAAGACTCAAATTGCTATACAATCGCAATCTCATCACACTCTTACTTTAGGCAAAAGCAAAAAGAAGTAATTTGCAGTTACGAACGTTAACATTAGACTGCAATTATGCATTATTTTCTTGACTAATTTGAACAAAATTCAATTTTACTTAATTCATTCAATATTCAACTTTAAATAAAAGAAATAATGTTGTCTTAATGTTTCATTTTGATTGGTATTGTAACAAACATACCGCGAAAATTAATTTTAAAAAGTAAGATATTTAATTTCAGTATTGTAAACTTTCTATTAAATATTTAATTTTAATATACTTTTTGATAGATGTATCTTTACTACGTATAGCCAAATATTATGGTTGGACAAATCTTTATACAAAATTATGAATAAACGAATTATTTACTTACATGCGTGGATGATTTAATTACATATTCCCTTTTAAATAAAAAATATAAAAAAAGGCTAGAGATGGACAGGGTTGACTCACAAACTTAGCGTTGTATTTATTGTAATTAAACATTTTATTACTCAACAAAAGGTAACAATAAAAACTTATTAATAAATTGGAAACAAAATATTTCTTACACGATGTTTTTCGATACAAAACCAAAGCCTATCAAGTAATTTATTAGACAACTTATTTTTTGAGTAAGTAACAATTAATGGAAATAGTTAAGAAAGCAGGTACGGTTACATTACTCACATGTACTGTCTGCAATTAATTAGTAGGAGTAGATTAGGACTATGGCGGGATATAACGTTCTACGGTTATTACATCGCAGTAAAATCATTGACCAACTCAACGATTCAAAGACTGTTATAATACAAATTTTAAATGAAGTAAATTCATAGTAATGCATACAAAATTATTTTTTCAATGTTAAAATAATTAATTTTAGAAATTTAAACGCTTATTTTTTCATCAACATAATTTAGAAACAAATAAGGTATTCGGAGTATATGCATTTCGCATTTATTGAAAAGAAATGAGATCACAATTACTAACAATTATAAATTTTAGTTACTATTTTATGGGTACAAATGAATTTAAGAAAACCTAACTTATTTTAGAAATTTCTTTTACAAGTTTCGCTGTGTTATCAACTAAAAACATTTTATAAGAAATATCATTCTTTAATCTCTAGAAAAAATAACGCGGTTTCAGAAATTAAAAAATTGTTTGATAAAATACTAACTTTCATAACCAATAAAAACGAAGTAAAAGTAAAAAATAGCTTTTTATAATTACAACATAAATACAATTTTGAAATGTTCATTTCACTATGGGCACACTCTTTAACGCTTTTGTTGACAAAAGCGAAGAACTGAAAAAATCATATTTTGCATATTTTTCATCGGATCGTAAAAATGGTATACGATTATAATATATTTCATCTTCAACGTGCCGACAAAAGTTGTCGAACTATTCTCTGCTTTGGTATTCCTTTGCACATCGTGTTTTTGCATTTCTGAAAAAAAATCAAATACATGCCAACATTTCTTGTTAGTGATGTTTAAGATTTTCCTTATTTGATTTTAACATTGTTACAATGGCGTTTTATTATGGTGCGTAGTAAATGCACTTATCATAGAATTTATTGTATTATAAAAGTAGAAAAGTTAGGAGTGTATTTATATGAATATATCTCTATATTTTAAATGTTTTCATGATTATTACAAACTTATGAAACTATAATTTTAATTAAAATCTAGATAGTCTTCCAATTGCGCAATAAAGCGGTCGCAATTCTAGAAATACATAGTCAAGTTATGATTGAGTTCTATACTCCTTTCAAACTGATTATCAAAATCAATTAAGGCAGTATTTTACAATTTCTTATGAAAGTTATATATTTTTTATACTGAGTATCATATAGAAAAATATTTAAATGATGAATTGTATTAGTATTTTTCATTACATTTCAATGTTTAAGAGAATATCAGAGTCTTTACAATGAGTATAAATTATATTCATTGGTCTTTGTAGATACCAACATTTTCACGAATTAAATTATTTTTTATCAAATTCTTGTCTTTAATACTAATTTAAATCAGCTGAGTTTCATTAGTTTTTAATGAAAGAGAGATGACCGCAAGAATGTTAATCAAAAACGTGAAATAACATAAAAAAATTTTTATAGTAGAAATTTATAATCTGCTCTGACCTCTTAAAAAAATCAAATAATTCTTTTGAATCCTTTATACTTATATTCTTGTTAATAAGTTTACTTGGAATGGTAATTATAGAATAATAGCAATAAATTAATATCGTAGTCTACTTAGCAGTATACTCGTAATGTTGGTTGTAAAATATCATTCACATCATCGGTAATCATTATTATCATTATCATTTTGCTTCAATATTATGATATAGAAATAATGATATAAATTTTTTGTGTATGATACATTATTGTGCTTGATCAGTGATCTGATATTGATTATGTGCACAATGTGTTTTTTTTGTTGATTTTTTGATTTATCAATTAGTGTACTTAGTAACACTCTGTGCTAGTAATTTTGTTGAGGTTATACATGTATATATAATTGCACTTTGTCAATAGTTCTAACACAAGTGAAAATCAATTTCTAGTGCTTCTTAATAACAAATAAAAATTTTTATAAAATTTTATCATGGGTTGGACCGTAGCGGTCTTAAAAACTATGTTCACTACTAATCTTTTTGTTCTTTCTAACAATTGGCACATCAGAGTTTTGATTTGTTCCAACGCATAGTTATTACAGACTAACAAATGGTAAAAAAATGACCAAGTTGCTAGATACAGAAGCATTATTACCAAATAGATATACCGTTTACCAATAGTACAATATAAGTGCGCCTTAGCGTGTAGCTTAGTGAGTGATCTCGCGTACATAAATGTACTTGTGCACGCTATGCAAAATTAAATCCTTTGATCTTGGCGCACAGACGTAACGACCTGTGCGTTAATTTATATGCAAGGAAGCGCTCGTTCCAAAAGTTCTTTCACTTCCTTTTTAAATTTGACCTTGAAAAGAAAGGAAAAAGCACCAATTTGATGATTATTCTAGCTCTTACAAAAATAAAGCATATATATAATATATATGTATCGCATTCATCGGTATGTAGAACGAACAGAAAAATAATCTTCAACTGGTACAACGTGAATTGTTAACTTATAATATAAAAATATACATCTACATATATATTATCATCTACACGAGATAAAAAAAAATTGATCAATAGAATACAAACAAACAATAATTGACTTGCAATTGGTGCGTGCAAATAAACAATTGAGATAAATAAAATATATATCTACATTTACTACGAGTGACCGATTGCTGGATTATTTAATGTCTGTATAGATGTTTTCTAGAAAAATAGATGCTTGATACTGCTGGTACCAATTCGACTTCGAGTGTAATTCAGAGGTGTATGTATTTTTCAGCATAGTAAATACATTTGCTCTGAGAAGGTAGTGTTGATAGCGCGAATGATCGCCGACAAACGACAAGAAGCGCAATCATGAACACTTAGCTACGAGGTAATTGCGAATGGCGAGAGCAGAGGCACTAGGTATGTGGGTAACGCGCGAAGTGTAGCGAGCTTGCATGGACGGGGTGGATATAGCGACGAGGGGCTCGAGTTAGCGAGCGGGGAGTGTCTCGCGTGTCGGCGGACTGCGGTATTTGGCGCGGATGTGAAGGAAGTTGTTGTTGGCGTGCTGGTGCTTGTTTTGGCCGTGCAGGGGCGAGGTGCTCTCACGGCTGAGGACCCTCACCTGGCAAGGGTCGTGCCTCGTCAGGAAGTGCTCGAGCGTGTCCCAGCCGCCGCCCACGCGCACCATCATATGTCGGCCCTTCAGCAACTGTAACACAGTTTTGATTCGACGTTAGAAAGCCATCGGCTTCCGCTGTGGCGGAATCGAGCCCCGCCGAGCAGAGCTTGGATCAACGTCGTACCCTTATGAAAACATTGCGCCCGGCAATGTTGTAGCGGCCCTCGCCGACCTTGCGCACTCGCAGCTTGCTGCACTTGCTCGACGGGCACTGGCACAGTCGCTGCACCGCCTCGGTGGCCCTTTTCACCTGCGCAGACAAACGACAAACATTAGGAGAACGAGTGACGACGAGTGCTTCGCTGACTCAAAGAGCCACGCTGCCGCGTCGGCCACTTCCGCCGTTCAGCTTTTAATGCCGAATGCAGTCTGGCGTTTGCTTAGCATGCAAGGCTTTGCTCTAAACGTGAAGTGCGCACGTAGCTTCGTCTACGCCTACAACGCTCGTTCTCTTGGCGACGCCCGAACCCGCCGACACGCTCAACAACATGAATGCAGCCTCGGGAATATTAATTCATGCCTGCAGGCTACTTGTCGCTCTCTTTCTTCTACGAAAGTAGTTGGCAATGTCCGGCTAGTGCGGTGGTTACAACTGATGTGCCTCGCTTTGCGCTCGGACGCGTGTGCGAAATGGCCTCGGTTTCAGCAATAAGCACTGTTAGACCAAGACGAGCCGACAGCAGCGTCTTGCGATGCTCTCGGATGCGAAGGAATTGTCGAGAGAAGTGGTAGGAATAGAAACCTTTCGATCGAGCTCTGTAATCGGTCCAGCGTGCTCCGGGGGTTCCACCGACGAGGGCGAAGGTGAGGTCGTAGGTGACAGCACCTCGTCCGGATCGTCGGCGCTGCCACGCGACCAGTCGTCCTCGGTCGTGTCGCTCGGCACTCCATCGCTACCCTGAGGTCCATTGTCGCTCACCGAGCGTCGTATCTCCGGTTCACGGCTCACCTCCGGCTCGAGCCAACGCACGCCATTGGTCGACATCTCCACTGCTGAGCTGTAAAATCGGTCACGGCTGCATCAATTTTACAAGCGCACGGACCATTGGCGCGTCGGTCAACTTGAACTGCGGGCGCACGAGTCCTCGCCGCGATGCGATTATCAAAACAAGAAAAGCAAAAATGCAAATATTCGTCGGATACTCGGCGAGGCAAGCAAAGCTGTTGGCTCGCGCGCGTGCAATTGCCGATAATATCGGAGTCGACAGACCAGAGAAAGAAATAAACGCTGGCGCCTTACCTGCTGTGCTTGATTTTGTCGATGGGTGGCCCAGGCGAGGCTGTCGGCGAGGGTGAGCGGAATTGCCAGGAAACCAGGCTACTGTGCGAGATACCGCTGTCCGACAGGCAGTGGAGCTCGCGCTCCTGCTCGGCGGCGATTTCGCGCTCCAGCTGCACCAGACCAGGCGGCTCCACCGAGTAGCGCGTCGCTATCCGCGACACCTCCAGAAGACATAGCACCACGTTGCGCGGTTGATTGTGTAGCACTGTACGTACCGGAAAACCGGAAAACGGATTTTAACCAACCTTCTTCCTCGTTTGATTAACCGGATGATAGAGTACGGCGGAATGAAAGAGCCAACTCTCGGGTAAATTGCGATTTTGCAGCAGCAGACGAGCCAGCGACTTTGATGAAACGCTCCGGCTCGGTTTTTAATCAGACAGCACAGGGCTCTCTCATTCAGTTCCGATACGCGCGTGTATAGGTCGCAAACATACTATTGATCGGTCTGTCTGTCCCAACTATAAAGTAGGCTGTGCCGATATTACGACGAGAACGGCGCTCCACTTGCTACTCACAATGCCTCGTGTATAGCGAGAGTGGCGCGCGCGCATTTGCGAGTCGGCAGTTTTTGTAGGATCGCCCGCGGCGAGACTCTTTTGTCGTGGACGTATTTACCGAGTCGCGCTCTCTCGCAATCAAATTATCGTGCGCGTTTAGGACACGAGAGTGAGTAAGAGGGAGGGGGAGGGAGAGAGAGAGAGAGAGAGAGAGAGATCGGGAGATTTAACGTATGCACGCGCCGCGCTCGACTACACGCCCCTGCTTGGAATTTCCTTATCGTTTCGAGCGCGTTTAACTTCTTTGTTCTGGCGATGAAGCGCGCTTGTAATAAAAGGGCACTTCCGAGGCACTGCCCTATTTACTTGGTGTGCACGCGCCACCAAGTCCCCATCTGCGTGGACACGCGCAACTCTGAAACTCCTCCAGGCCATCTTTTTTTCCTTTGTTCCCCTTTTTTTCCACACCCAACGTGATATGTGTCGCTTATTAACATCGCTTGCTAGCTCAATCAAATTATACTTCTCTACGGCTTATCTCGCTAAAGAACGCATGCCCTTATCTAGTTTTTGTTTTTCGATAGTGTCTTTTTTCGATTTTACGTAGATTCAAGCGGAAAAATAACCGAAAAGCCATCCGAGACACATCTTTATTCGGCCTCTGTTTTAATTAATTGAAATGGAAGAATCCCAATGAATAGATGTACGAGACGAACGTACACTTTTTTATGAACGGAAAGTTGTCAAGTTCAGCGATTTGTAATGGTACAATGAAAGAGTTTGCGCAATCAAATTGAAAAATCACGCCAAGTATTTTGATCGTCTGTAAACAAGGAAAAAACTGGAACGCTTACCCAAGTCGTCGCTTTCGAAGAGTAGATTCTCGTGGACACCAAGACGTCGGCAGAACTGAATAAAGTTTTCCATGTTGTCGCGTGAGAAAAAGCTACGACGCGCGGCATTTTCCCAGCAGCGTCCTCTAATGGTTGGTGCTGGCTGAAAAATTGAGGCGAAAGCGAACGCGTAATCCCATCTTTGAAAGATGTCATTTTTCGGAACGAAAATAGCGCTGGCGTTGCAATCAATCAGCGCGCTCGTACTGCCCTCGACGCGGGCTAGCATAACGACGTTAGAGAGTTGAGCGATCGCGTGCTCGGCGCTCGGCGCTCGGTGCATCGAGTGAACGAGGGAGCGCGCTAATTAAGAACGATTGTTTGTCGAGAGGCTTTTCTAAGTCTGCCAAGCGCAAACACTGCACTTACCCCTTTTGCTGTGCCTGCCTCGATGGCCGATCGAGCCTTCTCCTGGATGACTCTCGCCAAGCGGCAAAGTAGCGCCCCATTGTCTAGCACGTCGAAGAAGTTGTCCCCTGATATGTGGTCGACATCTGCAACAAGAAATAGTCATCGCGCGACTGATTAAACTTTGCCTGCGCTCCAGAGATACTCGCATGCACGCAGTCAAAGAAACTTTGATCTACGCCGTATTATACGGCCGCGGCAAGAGCATGAAAAACGGGAGCCGAGGGAGCGAGTGGCCTTTTAATTCAGGTTGGCTTGTGCGCGTACATAAAGCTCAAGCGAGCTCCACGGCTCAAAGTGGGTCGCTCGATGAAATCTCCCGCTCATCTCGACGTCGCGGGCGGAAGCTCGGCGCGCACGACCAAGTATCGCTCGTGTCGGATATACTCCGGTATGCACGTACAAAAGGGCCTCGTCTAACAGTCTCGGCCTACAATTGTCTGCGCTATTTAGGTCCTTTTGCGCGCGCACGAGAAAGAGTTGCAATTGGCGCATCTCGGCAGTGCTGTGGTAGCTAAGCTATTCGAACGCACGCGCACTGGAGCGCTTATGCTAAGCGTTGCGCGCTGCAGGCCAAATTAAAGTGCCGCTGGGCACCAGCGGAAGGGAAAAACAGATAAGCCAGATGGCTAGTCGCTCGGCCGCCACACGTAGAACGACGAGTTTGCCGCCAAGCTCGCGCTCGCGTCGAGTCAACGAACTGTGCAGTTGGCTGTGTTTGAACCTTGCGAGCCTCGTCATTCGTTTTGATGCGCCGTCATTGTAAAAGCCAAGCGAAATTCGAGGCGAATATAATTTCGGTTTCATCCGAGCGACAAACCGCAATGGTGGAAAAGTGCAACGAGCGAGCACGTGTAAATAAAGCGACTGCTCGGTTCCGCTGACTTGCCGTCCTGACGTTCGCCAGTCGCCGATTGCCTTGGCTTACGATTTCTATGGACTGTTTGTCCGCGCGCGCGCGTCACTCAAAACCAGAACACATCGGATCCGTTTCACCGCTCGAGCCTTCTTCATAATTTTCTTTACTGTTGACATTTATTCCAGCTTGACCGAAGAAATTGCCTCGAAGAAAGTGCGCTCCATACTTTCATCTGTTTCCATTTGACGCAATGTATCTACGACTGCAGTCGCTCAGCTCGTACGACAATTGTCGGCGGTCTCTTATTTTTCTTCCTCCAGCAGGCCGAGGCACGTGCAGCAGCCACCACTGCTGCGATAGGACTCGAACCAATCCATGCCGCGCGTCAGTGAAAATCCGAGCGTTCCTAGCACATCAAGAAAATAAATTGAAAACGCGCCGTCGGCTGTACACAAGCATAGAGCGTTCACGCGCAATTAACTGCGCAATTAGTGCACAACACGAGTTGCATTCGGTGGAATATAAGAAAAGTAAACCGCAAGCAAACAATTTGACTTTTCCAGAGCACTGACATTCGTATGTAACAATTATTCCTTCAGGCGAATCGGCTTTGCGTTGGACAGCCACGTACAGCTCCCACAGTTCTACACCGTCAGCCCACCAATCAACCAGATCGTACTCCGTTTGCCGCCGAGCGATCGTTGAGCGCGCACTAGGCCTCGAGTCTCACAGCAATTACACGCTGGCAAATAGGACTTCTTGGATGGCCCGTCGATGTAGCGCCAATGATACCAATGGTAATGGGAATAGTAGGGCGCTCTGTCCATCTCTCGTGACTTGACGTCGCGGCACGTTACAATGGGGTTGTTTGAACCTCGGCCTGCACTCGTCAACAACTATACTATCGGCCACCCGCGCGCACCTCTACAGTACAGTTTCGGCCGAGCACATTTTGCTCCGATTTTGTTTGGATGTCATCGTCAAACAGACATTCGTTTTCTCTAACTGCGCGGATGAAAGTAAGCCAGGCAAATGCCAAGTAGAGAGCATTTACGTGACATTGTGTGGGATAGGACGAGGAATGATCGCTGAGAGGCTGACAGTCGGCGTAACGCCGGCCGATAGACATGTACGGCTTACGCAAGAAACTAATGAAAGCGCTCCCCGCAGTACGGGCACGAAACGTAGTCGCGGCCCATTGGAAAGTGCGCGGCACAGGGAATAGGTTCACACGCTGAGACAGGCCTGGAACGCTCTGTACACGTCTGGCACGCGTTGGACAGAGGAATATATCCGACGGTTATGCGTGCAGCAACAACGACGACAACCACAACAACGATACAATGGGTATCCGAGCCAAACTCGTGATAAGTAAAGGCTTTCGTGGACGGGCCGCGGATCGTGTATTATTGTTCTTATTATATAGACACACACACACACGCACACACACACATCCAGAAAGACACTTATAGGTGAGAGTGAGAAGGAGCGTGGCGCTCGTGGTCCCCTTTGACTCCGTGAGTATAAGCATGGGACTCTCTTGGCGCGCAATAACTTAGCTGCGGCTCCGCATGTATTTGCGATTCGTTTTGCGACTCACGAGATCGTGATCTCGGTCAGCCGGAACTACACTCGCAGACTCACCGATATTATCGACGGACTTCGACCCACACAGCTAGCCTTACTTACCATTCGCCTATTGTTCGACCTATTAATAGGGTAGTGCACACGGTAGCCTTATATTCCAAGTGCATCGCCGCCTGCTTGCATGTCTTTTGTCGATTGCCCGTACGTCGAGCGAATCACAATGATGTTCGCTCGTGCGACCAAGTTGCGAAACGCCATTTCGATGCTTTGTCAATAAACGCGGTTTCGCGCACACGTTTCCCGATATTTCGGGCGCATCTCCGCGCGTGTACGCGAGAAAGAGCACACATCAAAGAAGAATGTCGGAGAGCGACGCGATCGAGTGAAAATTATCGAGCGCCCGTCCGCGCGAAGGAATAAATTCCTAATTCGCGTGCGCGCCTCCGCCGCGCGCGTCAATATCGATGCAAGAGTTGTTCGGAACTTTCACGGGCTTACCAATACCATAATAAAGCCCTCTAAAGCCAAAAAACGAGCCTTCTTCTCGAGGTCGAATTCGGAGTCCACGTTAGTAACTCGATATTATTTTATCGACTACTCTATTTTTTCTCGCTCGTAGCCAAGCAAAAAATGCATTCTCCCGTTTTTTACGGAAAACGTCTCATAAAGCGATTATAATTAAAAATAGATCGACCAACAGGATATTTTCACTTGTGTACGTTCCACCACTGAGGCTTCGTCAACATTAATGAAGCACTGCCGCAATAACTCTAGCAGCCGACGACGACGACAAAAGAGTACCGGCGAAAGTGCAAAAATATTTGTTTAACGCTTGGTTTGGTCGCGTCACGAGTCGGAGGCGCGGCTGTAAATGATCGAGGACGGGGCGGCGCAACATAATGCGTGGATCTGAGAGAGAGAGAGAGGACCCCCATGCACGAGCAGTTGCGGGGGAGAAAAGGGAAGTACGGTAAAGTAAGTATACAGGAGGGCTGCAGAGAGCCGGCAGTCGCTTCCGGTGAGTCAGACGTGCGTCGCTGACTGCAGTTGCGCATAAGCGCGTCGCGTACATCGCGCATCGGCTCTCGTTTGGGCCCGCGACGCCAAGTGGCGTTGCCGCTTGGCTCCTGCGGCCACTCCCAGGCTCTTTCTGCTCGTCTTCTTCTTCTTCTTGTCGCTCGATCATTCGTGAAAAATAGGAAACAAATCGGCCGGCCGAGCGATCTCACGGCCAAAAATCACAAACGCAGAGGCAAATCGACGGCCCGTCTGCGAGCGATAAGCGGCTGCGTCGATCGCTGCCCGAGTCGAGCCGTGTCGCACGCACGCACGCACACTTTCGCGAGAGATCTAGGATAACAGTCGCTCGCACATCCGCATTTACGTCACACGCAGAGCAGAGCTGCGCCAAGTGAGCGAGCGGCGACGACAAGCTTCTTTCTCGCGCAGGCTACTGCTGCCGCTGACAACAAAACAACGCCGCGCATTTGTCTAGGCTTGTGACTCGCGTGTGCACGCGCGTCCTCCTCCTCCTTCTCCTCCTACTGCCAGTATTAATGCGAGTTATCATCTCTATATAGGTACGTGCATAGGCTCCGTTTTGGCCCTCGTGCGCACGTGACCTGGTACCGCAAGCTCCAACGCCGCAAATTTTCTCACAGAACCGAGAGAGAGAGAGAGAATTTCTTTTCTTTTCCTTTCTATAAGTAAGCCAGTAGCGTTGGGCATTTGAAGTTTGTTGAATCGATAACTCATATTTACAGCTGAGATACCTACGAAAGCCTGCTTATATGTACTCCCCCCTCCCTCTCTCATTCGATTGTCTTCTTTTCCTTGTGCCTAGTAGTTCTTGTCCTACGGGAACAAGCCATATCCGCGATTAGTCGTCCGTATTCCGTGCTCGACTGACTGCTCGCTTATCGAAGGCTTCTGATCACATAACTTGACTCCATCCGATACGTAATGTAACTCGCGAGGCTCTCGCAATGAGTCGATCTCCTTACAAGATTTCATTTCGTTATTCCGAATGTATAGTTTGATCATGGGTGAGCTTGGTCTTTCCGATCTCTCGATCGGTGTGATGTGTAGAACTATTATTGAGCGGTCAATTGGTAAACAGGAACAAGCGCCGCTAATACGCAAGGTGTTGATACGTACTTACGGGCGAGGGTCAACGAACCGCTATTCAAAACACTAGACTCGAAGCCGAGAGCCACGCTCATTAAAATGAAGCATATTCAAAGTAGCCTACTCGAGCGCCGGCCTGAACGTTGTGTTGGCGACGCTCCTTTTCGCGCGGCTACTCTTTCCAGATCGAGCCGCTCTCTGACGCTGCAGTGTGAGTCCTTTTGCGACTTATCTGCTGCATATAATGGCCACGATTTCCTCGCGATCCCCACGACATATCCGTCCAGCCGCGCTCTCCCCGCATTTTATTTATTTATTTATTCATCCGTTGGCGATAAAAGCCGCCGTGGGCCAACGCTACCCGGCACTGTTATTTCTCTTCTGGCTCTCGGTCGCTGCCTTTTGTTCGATGCAACTCGGAATAACTGTTTGCTCTACGAGCGAGAGCGTCGCACACTCGCTGGCGGCCGGACAACAAATTACATCATCTATCCGGGCTGTTATACTAGGAACTGTTCGCCGACGGTAGCCGCGCGTTCACCAGAATCGTGCGCTTGCACGAGCGATTTTCAGAACCCCAAGAGTACAACAACTGGCGCGCGCGGCGAAACTACCGGTTTGCACTTGCTTACTTTTCATGATACTGCACAACTCCATTCCTCTTCTTTCGGAATAGACTGGTCGGTTGAGCGAGTCAGCGGCAAAGACGCTTAAATACTCGTGTCGACAGTGCAGTCAAAGGCAAAAGATCGAGCCAGCGAAAAAGAATATAAGAAAAAATAAATAAATAAATAAATAAAAAACACTTGCGTGAACGGCGATCGAAGAAGCGCCGGCAATCGGTACGGATGAGAACTCGCGATTAGCCTTGCTTGGATACTTGCACCGCTCGCCACGCGGCCAAACTAGAAACACTTTTTATAGCTCTAGCCTGGTTCTAAGCTAAAGTTCTTGGAACTACTGCTCGAGCCAACGTCTCATTTGCGCGCGTGTAACCCAGCAACTTGATTCAAAGTTTCGCATACTCCAACTCCCTTGCGCGACTGTCGATACCTCAGCGTCGCATGTCGAGCACGTACAAGGATGGCTGCTTTAACGCGGCAACGTAACGTCGCTCGCATGACCTTGGCGATCTTCTTACGTCGCGTCGGCACGACAGCGCAGACAGGCGGCGCACGCGTCGCAGAAGGTGCGCGATCACGAGAACCAATCCTTTGCGCGACCTGTGCTCAATTCGTCTGCTAGCTGTGCGGCACAGCGTTTTCGATTATGTAGGCCAGGTGGACCTGCCAAGCCAAATCAGTCTTGCCCTTTTGTGAAGCGTCTTTTCCGATCGATAAAAATGCCTTGGTCGATAGGTATGCGAAAGCTCTTCGAGTACATCCTAAGATACGACGATCGGTATAATTATCTTAGGAGCAACGCTGCTCCAAATCAGCGCGAGGGGGGTCATGATTAAACTCCAATTAAATTAGAAGCCACCCATTGAAAAGAAACTTTCATTGCGCGGGATTGTAGGCTCGCTTACGTTGTTGAAGGATAAAGTGTCGGGAAAACGAGCGCAACGCGATTATTGTCATTTGCCTACGAGCCGACAGCGCAATTGCCGGATAACCGCTCTCTCTCTCTCTCTCTCTCTCTCTCTCTCTCTCTCTCTCTCTCTCTCTCTCTCTCTCTCTCTCTCTCTCTCTTTCTCTCTGTGAATGGGCTTTTATCGCGATCTCGCGAGCTCCTCGTAGCCGCGTAAGCTCCCGTGATTTTCCTTGTCATACGCGACCTTCATACAGCGAAAATTATCTGAATGGCCAAACGCAAAATCCCATGATCGACGATAAGTCGACTCGAAGAAAAGTCATACCCGCAAAGATCTTAATCGGCTCTTGCTTATCAAGGGCCCGCAACCAACTTTGCCCATTCCCTGATTAAATCAACTAACGCATTATTAAGACTACAATCTTTTCTAATCAGCCGAAAATTCGGGATCAGACCAATTGGGCTTATCAGTGCGCAACTATTCTCCGAGTGAAAACGAGCGTTAACAATGTCCCTTGCCCAAGACTATTAACTTTCCCAAGCACTTTCAACGCGAAGCTCGAAAAGTGCAAAATAATATCCGACGTGTTCTCTGAATGAAACTTTTATGAAATGCACTTGCAAAGCTTCCATTAGTCGAATATCGAAACCAGACTGATCGCGTGCACTCGCGAAAGAGCCGACTCGTGGGTTCGCCATAGCGGCGGGAAAAAGGGCACAGCGGAAAGATGAATTGCCAGGAACGCGAGTAAAAAAAGCGATGCAGCATGCGCGAGCAACAATGCACGTACGGGCGTAAAACAGAAGCCGAGCGGCCGTACGAGGATAAAACACGGAGGAAGAGAGCGACGAAACGGATGCATCGCGGAAGAGAGCGCAGTGAATCGTTGAATGGGATACTGGTCGGCGCGCCGCTGCGTGCTGAATGAGCTGCTGCCCGCCCTGCGAAGGTGCATTACGCCTTGGCGAACACGCACGCGATCGCTGCACACGCGTACGCGCGCGCGTGAGTGTGCGCGCGGGCGAGGCCCTCGTGTACGGAACAGTGAGAGAGAGAGAGAGAGACAGAGAGAGAGAGAGAAAAAAGAAAGGAAAGAAGGGACCGCCGAGGCTGAAGTTGAGTGGCCCCTTATGCTCGATTCAATATCATTAAAGTGAGCTGTCTATATATGTAGTTTGTGTGCGTATGTACATCTGCCTCGTGTCTGCCCGGAACGGCTACTCGTCCGCCGTTCATCATCCGCGTGCCCTCTCGCTTGCTTTATGTGCGCCGACCCGCGCTCATTCGCATTAACTAGATATTACTCGCGCAAACGAGCTGATGAGCTTTTGACAAACTGATTATTCCAAACCCTCCATTGTCGATTGTCTTTCCCTTTTTGTCTACGTAACATAACTAACTGCAGTTATTTCGAAGCTCATTGTAAAATTTTGTCAGCTTGCCGTAAGAACAAAAAATATGCAACACGAACGCGGCTTAATCAAATATATTTCCAGCCAATAAAATCGTAAGGGCCTTTCCCATGCTTACGTATATCTTTTCACAACGAGCCCACGCGACAATGAAGCGACGTCAAGAATACGGGTGCAGTGCATTGTTATATGCTATCATAATAGCTTAATTGTGTATAAAATTTTGAAGCAATCAAATTTTTTATTGTGTCGTTAAGAAAGAAAGATATATAAGAGAGGAGGAAGCTACTAGAACGTGATCGAGATTGATCAAGACGTGATTTTCTAAATTTAACACATGAAATGTCTGATTTTCTTAGTTGCTAATCAGAGTGTAGAACATGATGCGCCCTAACATTAGTGTGCTAGCTATCTATTAGACGTTCCATTACATTACTTTAAAGTATCATTGCCTTCACTAATTACTCCTAATTTGTTACACATTTCTAGACACGTGTTATGGTAAAATATTTTGATCTTACGGAACATGCTATTTAGAGCGACAACACATATTTCATTGACAAACTGGTCCGTCGAATATCCATTGAAAGCAGATTAAGATCAAACTCAGGCAACGATTATTTATCTAAATTAAAATGTAGAATGCGGTTAGTCAATTTTTTGTCGTTAGCATAGATTCTTTTACTAGAACATATTTACGAAGCCAAGATAGACGGCATCGCATTAGTCGCTGACGATAACGAAGGCTAGGCTTGGAGCAGTGTGTAAGCTGATAGGCGAATAATTTGGGTAAATGAGTCGGCCATACCAAAAGCAAGCCTCGTAAATCGAGATATCCAATCTTTGGACAAGCTAATTTAATTTCTTGGCGTGCTTAAAGCAAAGTGTAATTGGATAAAAAAAATAAAGGTAGACGACTGTTGCACGGAAGAGGCCTTAATCGGCCTTCGTCATTAAACATATACGTATCCTACTCCCCGTGCATTTTCTTGAAAAGCATTCGCGAGTAGTCGATAAAAGTGTAAAAGTATAACGATGTGCTCGATACTTTAAAAGAATGATCCCATTTAAAAGCCGTATAATCTTGCAAGAAATAAATGCTGAGAGCAATGTTTTGATTTTGCGCATTCGAGGTCAATTGGAATTCCTTAATTCGAACGTGAATTAAGTTTGAATCGCGACAGACTGCAGACATTTCCATGCAAGACGAATCTTGAATGGAAATGCTCAAGGTTGTAGCATGAAAAATAAAAGACACTTACTGATAGTCCTGTTGATCCAGTCGGACAGATCCTCCTGCAGCGGTATGAGTTGTCGACTTTGGGCCGAGTGCAGGCGCTCGTTGTAGTAATCGGCGTACTCCTCCTCTTCGGACGAGGGTCTGGGCACGTCGGCCGCTCGCTGGAACACCGACACCGAGGTCGGACCCCAGCTGCTACGGTAGCGTGTATTCTTCGTCGGCGGAAAGCGGTTTGTGTACGACATTTCACTGTTTCTCTCTCTCTCTATCTCACTCTTTTAAACGAGATCCTTCGTGCAGCCTGAAAAACAAAAAAGGGCCGATTGGCTCTCGTTAATTTATCAGTACCGAAAGTCACACTTTTCGACGTAAACATATCGCACACGAGCTCTTCGTTGGGCGGTTCGTTCGCCGCAATCACTCTCAAGATTGCACTAGCGCGCAAACTTGTTAATACAAAAAAAATGCGTACGAAGCGAGCACAAAGTTCTTGCTTGGGAAAGGCCAGTTTCGAAGTAAGCCAGTTTTTCAAAAAAGTATCAAAAGCCTAAAGACTCGCGCCTCTTTGACGATCGTGCGCTTCTAAAATCCTTTTGTTTTGCTCTGAATAGAGGAAGCAGAGGTTGGAAGGTTGCAAGAGTGAGACATTACTCGCAAGAATGAGTTGTCGAAAAGTAGTTCGTTTGACGTGGCCGTGAATATCGAGTCCCAGCCGAGGCCAGAGAGATCGACGTCTCTCCTCTCGCGCTACTTCTCCGCCTTTATTTTGGTACACGAGTAGGCGAATACAGACAATCCGACGCCCCCGCAAACAGATCGCTTCCTGATACGCGTGATTTGCGGCTTTTTTGCTGACGCCTGTTTCTCCCGAACTACTCTTTGTCAGGTCGGCAAGGAGTGATTCTCATCTCGATCCATATCTTGTTCGTCTTTCATTCTCAACTCTTCATTATTTTGACGTTCGATTTCTTTCCACGACTCATACTTGGTTTTCAATTGTTCTACCTGAGATGTTTGCGCGAGATGCTTTGACATTTAATGTTACTGTAAAAGTACGCTTAAGTTGTTAAAAGTTGTAGAAACTCGTACAGGTCGCCTCATTGGCGTTATTTACGCGCAGCATTACGAACGGCCAGGGCGTGACAGCTTGACAAACGGAATTTCGAAGCGATAAAGGAAAGCGTTGCAAAAGTCGGGCAAAGATATAGAATTGGGAAGAAAGCAGCTCTTGAATCACTCGCGACACATAAGTTTTCCTCATCAACGAAAAGCCGTCGAGGCTCAAGCTCGCGAACAATAAATCTCAACTTGCGCGCGCGCGACGTAGCAGTGGAGCCGTGGTAGATACGTGCGACTGTTGTGCGACAATGGAAAATGTGGAATAGTTTGAATTGACTGTACCAAACGAATGTTCAATTCGGAAAAAGGTTTTAATGGTCGTCACCGGGGACGAGGATTAATCAACGACAGCAAGAATGCTCTTGCAAAGGCTGTTATTAGTAATTCATAAACAGTTGGAGAAACCACACGTGAGACAATAGCGCGGTTATGCACGGGACTGCAATATCCCGTGGCGAACAATGCAATCTGTTTATACGCAAGAGAATGACAAAGTTTACGCGAAGTCGTCGGCCAAGCGACGCACTGCATCGAGACGAAATCAGTCGTGAACTGCTGCGCCGAACGCCACGCCTTTATCTTTGGGCTGCACGTGCGATCGATCGGCAATTACTCTCGCGGATCGCCGATACATTGTTAAACGAGTTTTTGTACTGTCTCGTGGCAGCGTCGATCGCATGTATAAAGGTCGAGTTGCCGTTCGCGCGCGACCATTGCGAAATGCGCGCTGCCTTGCTGACCTGGAAATTTAAAAGAGATCCACGACAAACCAAAACAGACCGCTCCTCAAGGACATCGAGCGGCAAACGCGCAGGGCCTTAGATGCCCAGTTTCACTTTCATGTTTTTTTCATAGTCAGTCTCTATTTTTGAGCCATTCGCGTCTCTCATTCTCTAAATGACTATTCATTGTCCAGATCGGCTCGTTACAAAGTTTCGATTGCGCTTATGATTTTCCTTGACGAAAGCTTATGATGCACGCGAATTAGTCGACAATTGGCAATAAACATAATTGGCAGTTTTGGCGCAAAGCCCGTCAACAAGCTATCAATTATATCCACTCACGTGTTCGCGTACAACCACCATTCGGAGCGCCCTTCTGACAATTTCACAAGCGAGCGCGCAAAGATATTGTCGAGATTATTGCAATTAGTCGCGACGTGTACAGCACAGATAAATCAAAAATCGAAGGCAAAGGAAACCATTTGAATCGACGCAGCGAGATAAGAGGTTATCGCGCGCCTGTACAGGATGCCGCGAATTCCACATAGGTATGCCGCGCGGAGTTTCAATGTCGCGCAGTGTATCACCTTATCGAGCGCCCTCTTCGACATAAATCAATAAACCGCGATCGAGCTAATTATCTTTAATCGCGAAAGCGTATAAGAACCCGCGGCTGTCTTCTTTGTTATATACTTTCCATCGGCGCGTCAAGCAGCATCCGCGTCAGTATCTGCTCCCCCCCCCCCCTCCCCCACTGAAACTCAGCTCTCGCTCGCGTTTTTCTCAGCTCGCGCGCGACTCCGCGATTTCACGCCACTTTGATGCGGCCCGTTATAGTTTCTTCTGCTAAACACTGTGATTAGATTCAATACGATGGTTTCCCGATGGTAAAAAAACAAAAGTAAGCGTCAATCGTAATTTGTCTATCGCGCCTGTAATCGACAGCGCAAAAACGCGTTTATTCACTTCTAATTGATATGCTGTTATTGGCCGTTTCGCTGATTTATCACCCAGCTGCAGGCATTGATTGAGATTTGCTTTGGATTTTTATTGCCTGCGATGGTTGGAATTGCTTAAAATTATTACGCTAGAGTAATTTGTAGACGAAGAGCAACAGTTTGTGAGATTAATGTTAGGTGTAATTTAATTTTTTTCAGTAATTCAGAAATTAATCAGCATTTCTCGATTAAAACTACGCTTAATTAGTGGATCAGTCTGATTACGGAGTCAGCAGTGAAGGCATACTAGCAGCTTGCAAGGAATATGACAATTCGAAACCCACGCGCGACAATAACTCTCATTCGCCCTTAGTACGGCTACAGTAATTATCGAATGCAACCTCTTTAACAGTCTCTACCATCATTAAGCATATGAACGTTCGATGTGCTGGAGGTAAAAGTCTCGAATGTCATTCGCACACAACAGTGCAGACGACGACAGACGCGATGGCTGACAGAAATTGATATGACGAGAGGACGACGGCAGCGCGCCTTGACACGAGCATGCGCGTATAATATATATAACGAGTGCACGCGTGGGCGGCACTGCGCGCGCGCGTCCAAAGTGTCGCTCGCATATGCAAGTGCGCGCGATTTATGCATTAGCGCGACTATGTGCGAGTGGGTTAGGTTTCCATTGAAAAAACCAGGTACTCCGAGGTATATCAGAGTACAGGCAGCGAGCCTATTTTCGCGAGCCTTGCGTCTGCTGTGGGCGGCACGTTACAGGCGTTCATTCACTGCTGTCCAGCTGACGCATACCGTGCTCTCTATTAGCCAGCCGTTTACCAGACTTTTTATACATTTCTTCTGCGGAACTATCAACAGATTAGATGGTGCGGCTGACGCGAGCATAAATCAGACATGATTGATACACTTTGTAATACGTGCTCGACGTACGCTGAATTTTATTTTGGAAGCTGTCGCTCGGTATTGTTGATTGTTGAAACTATCGTATATTCCGTGCTGCAAGTCTGAGTTGCAAAAAAATAAACAAGTCATCGTCGTACCGCAATCGTGATATATTGCAACGAGGACGTAATTAGTGTGGTGGAGGCGTGTATGGAGACATCAGATAGACTGCAAGTATCGGGATCGGGGATTGACGTGGTGTATAGAAAAAGATCGCATGCAAAACTCGATGACGAGGGCGCATACGTGCGGAACAATTTCACGGCGACTGCGTGCCCTCCGGTGTACCGGAAGGGTAGAAGGCCAGAGCTTCACTCGAGTGACGAGAGCGACCGATGCGATAGGAGGCGCTGGTTATTGCGAACGTAGGCGCCAAGAGGTGCTCCCGAGAAACATCACGCACGCGCGTATATTTCTCTGGCGCTAGGCGAAGTTGGCTAATCAAAAGCGCCGAGCGAATTAACGAAGCGTATTCAGAGCGAGAACTAAAGCCAGAGAGCGAGCGCACTTTCGAGTCCACGGAGCGATCAATCGATTCCCTCAACGGTTCATCGGCTTCGCTACAACTACTCGACGCCCGGCACGTAGCTCGGCTCGCCGCTCACGCTGCACTCGCTTCCAGCGGCGCTCGCTGCTTGTACAGGCCTCTTGTTTATTGCTTTTTCAGCGCTTCGCTGCTCTCGCGTTGGCTTTTCGCGCGCACCTACCTCGCGGTCTCCAGCAACACTTGGACGTCCGCGCGCGCTGCTGCGAAGCGACGGATTCCCAATAGAGTCTCGACTGCGAGCGCACTTTTCGAAACGCTAGACTCGACGCAGAAGACAATTATTATTGGCTGAAGCATCCAAGTCCTTCGAAGGCGATGCGCTCGTCCGAGCGCGGTAGGCGCCAGCGAGTAGGCGAGCGTTGCCAAAGCCCCTGGCTGGCCCCTGGCAGCGAGCTAGGAAGGAGGAAAGGAGACGAGCGCGAGCACGCCGAAAGAGAAGAGCAAAGAGCCGAGGCACGCGGAGATGCTCGAAGCTAACCGAAGCGTAAGCCATGCCCACGAACTCTCGCAGCACGCACGGGCGTGTGTGGCTGCAGGTATAGAGTCGAGACTTTCGCGCGCGGCGAAACCTCTTTCGTGCATTCTACGTGCCAATGCTTTCGTTCCGAGTTCTGCCTGTACTTGGCTAAAGTGTGGCTTACGCAATTTATATGTACACAGACGCGCATATCGGTTACGCGATTTCCTCTTCGATACCGTGCCAGGCGCTATTATATTTTTCTCAAGGATCGCGATCGCGAGCGGAAGTTTAAATGGAGCGCCTCTTACCGAATCTGCGCCGTCGGCTCGCGAGCCCTTAATTAAGTTGTTTTTGCGTTCGGCCCGCGTATGCGTACAGCCCAATTTTAATCAGCAGCTCGATTTACGACCCCATTAACTTCCGTATTGGTCTTATAGCGAAATCGTTGCGCACTTTTCGGAGCTCTCATCCGATCGGCCACGCGTTCCTTTGGCACGGCGTCGTTTCTCGTCCGACTTGAACGGAAATGACCCACAGCGTCAG